AATCTCAGGGACAACTTTACTAGGGAAAAAATGTGAGTAATGCCATATTTGATGTTACAGCATTCAACAATCTTTTAAAAATTCTACTTGGCTTTTATATAAAATCAAACAAATGGAATACCTACATGAAAACTTGAATTACTACCAGGAAAAAAATCTGCAAATGTTCTCTGGTGAGGTTTTGATTAGTTTCATATTTTTGCTGTTTGCATGTAAATATCTTTTTATGTCCTGTGACCTATGTGTAAGTGGTGAGGAGCTTAGGAAGACAGGCTTTTAAATGGGATCTTTGATCTCAAGCACTTATTTTATCTCTGTAACAAATAAAACTAAATGGAATTGGTGGAAGAACCAAGTCCTCTCTTTCATCTGTGCTGCAGCTGCTGCCTACATCTAGGATGACATCTGAGCCTGTCTCTCTAAGCTACCGCCCACATCTCCAGATGCTGTAACGAGCTGTGAATAACAGATCTTTCAGCTCTTCTCAAAATGAAATCTTCACATTGCTGAAACCTTCACAGCCATTTTCTGTTGTGCTGTTCATAACCTTTCTTTTCTGAAATAAGCCTATTACGTGAGTGATCACCATAAATAGTGAATAATCTAGTTATCCATCTGCTTCAGCAGAGTGCCAAATGGTAGCTTAATGGAGAATTCCTTCAGGAAACATTACACATACAGCCTATACTAGAGGTCTCCAACCTTTTGGGTCAGAGGACATATCTGAAATTTTGAGACTTTTGTGTCTGCATTCACAAAATGGCTACCACAGGGTTTGCCTGTTCATGAAATGGCTGCCATTGCAAGCACTAGCAGTTACAAAACAATAATGTTCAGGAAGGCAAACCAGTGATAGCAAAAGAAAAGTAATTTTCCCAAGAATCTAAGGGCAAGGCAGAAGCTGAGGCTCAACAATAAAATATACAAACACTATTTGACTCAAAATAAAGATAAAACTGGAAGATGGTGCTTTGCTTTGCAGAATGACAGCCTCTTAACATCTTAAGAAATAAAATAAAAATTGAGATGTGCCAGAATAGGTATCTGCAGAATAGGTGTTGCAGAACCCAGATTCACACCATAGTATGGCTGTGTTCAAGCCTAGCAGGACACTGCAGTACTGCACAACAACAAGGATGGGCAACCTTTCTTCTACTGAGAGCCACATTCCCTTTTTGGTAATCTGTCCGGGGTTGCATGTTGACAGTGGGATGGTCTGATGCCAGTGGTGGACAAAGTCAAAGCCAAATGCTAATCCCTTTTCTTTTCCTGCCACCTCTCTCTCTCTTTCTTCCCTGTCTCCCACTTCTTCCTTTCCACCCAGCAGGCTGACAGAGAAGGGGAGAAATGGCTATTGCCAGAAGCCTGGACTGTTTGCATGTAGAGTACTTTGGAAAGAAGGCTTGTTTATTCACCACTACATGAACAGGCTTCAGGCTTCCACATTCTCTTGCTCTTTTATTCTCCAGTTGAGCCCCCTGTTCTCCCCCAGAGAGGTAACGGAGACTTCCCCCAGTTCCGGGGACTGCGAGTGGGCTGCTGGTGGGGACCCAATGGTCAGCTGGGGCTCATGCAACTCTCCAATTGCCCCAGTGCTTCTGGGTTTGCTTCTTGAAAGCCTGGTGGTGGACACAGGCCTCCCCAGTGTGTGGTGGCTGAAGGAGGGACTGTTGGATGAAGGTAGCTTACTGTCACAAGCAGCACATCTCCAAAAAGCTGCCAAAGATGCCATTGCAGAAAACAGGGAGGCCAGGGGAAAAGGTAGAGAGAGGCACAGGTGACTTGGAGGAGGTTGTGAGCAGCAGTGGATAGGAAAGTGGGTAGGAAAAATGTCTTTTGTAGGTTTTTTGGTGGGGTGGGAAGAGTGAAAATGGGGCTGCTGAGGAGGGAAACAGAGAGGTTTGTTGTACGTGAAGAAAAAACATGAGAAAGAATGCTTAATACCTAGGTGGAAGAGAGAGAAGCAATTCCTAATCTAGGCATGATGGTGGTTGAAAAGAAGTTGAGGGGAGCGGGACAAGCTTTCTCCCACACTTCCTGGGAACAAGAAGGGAAGGAGCTCCCACCCATGTGAACATTTAGTTATAGAAGCTTCCTGACAATTGGCTCTGCGCAGGTCCAAAGTCCATATGTGCGATGCAGAAGGTCCACAAGAAAGAATGGGAGGTGTAACTGCTCACACTGTGTTGTGTCACAGTCTATGTTAATGTCACTGGATGGCTAGATAAAAAGGGTTTGGAGGCTGGTGGTTTTAGTACAAAATGAATACCAAAACAAAAAACAAAACAAAAAACCCTGCAAGACATAATTTTAAATCCAAAAAGCTGGGTGCCATCAGTAATATTTACCAGGTCTCTAGCAAATTTTCAATGTTGTCCAGCCATAGAGGGAGCAAAGCTTGCCTTTGCTTTGGGTATTTTACTGTCTTCTAGAACACAAAACAACTGTCTTAGAGGCATATTCCCAGACATTTCAGTCAACATCAGACATTAGCTCAGGGCAGAAAATGCTCTTCTCTTGAGCTTCCATTCCCTTCTGCAGGTGGTTTCCATTACAATTCCAAAATACACAGTTAGCATGACTTACTGAACAAACATGAAACTCTGCAATACTTGTAGGAACAGAATTCAATACTTTTCTGTTGTATCATATTAACTTAGGACATCAAATCAATGCAAGGGTGTGTCTTAGCACTGCTAAATTACAATTATGGATAATCACCACCAGAGCAGCAGCCGTATACACAGCTGTTCTAAGCCACAGAACTGAGTGAAAATAAGGAATATATGAAGATGTTTGGCCTCCACAAAGGCAGCTAAATTAATTTTATATACTTATGTAGGCATACCCATATTGCCCTGTTGCTACTCTCTGGGCAGAATACGGCTTTCATTGCAATCATACACATTCCAGATTTTATAGCAGAGGTGGGTAGCTTGTAGCTTTCCTGAGGTTTTGGTCTACAATTCCCATCATTCCTTACTACTGGCTAAGCTGGGCTGGTAAGCTGGGATGGCTAGGGTTATGAAAACTGAAAATCAGAACATCTAGAAGGCCACAAGTTGCCCACACATTTTATATAAGCCGTAATTCATCTTAACCACTGATAATAAGGTCTGGGTCTTGGACTGTACCCTGATTTTATTGGAATCAAACAATAGCAGAACGGAGCAGACAATCCAAACACAGAGGAAGTACTGGTCTTTTTTTCAGAAAGATGTGCCTTAAATACAAACTTTACTTTTTATTTAGTTTCATGAAATGTTTTGATTCAAACAGAAGGTAGGCCAAATTATGGCAAGCAAAAGGGCTTAAGAACAAAGGACAGCTCCACTTCGGGCATGACCTTAGGGAGAGACGTGCTCAGTGGACATTCTTTGATTGCAGAAACTCCCTCCTTCAAATTCCAGAACTTAAAGAATCTCAGGTAGCAGTAATGAAAGACCTCTCAAACCCTAGGAAAACATGACCTTGCCATATTTCTGTGTTTTATCTGCCCGCTGATGAAGTTCTGTTATTATTCTTAAAGCCTGTTTTAAGCCAAAAAGGAAGACATACAACCTTTCAAAAAGACTCAACCTTTCAAAAACAAATTTAATTCACAAAGAAGACAGTGCAGATTTAACATAGTACAAATAATGTGAAATTTCATGTTTCAGATTTGAGACAAAAAGAAAACCTGTCCAAGTTTCCAGACAGCTATATGTTCTCTACCTTAAGCAATGGTTCCTAAAAAAAACTTTTGAATACCTCTGTAATTCTCAATCAAGTGCTGGCATGTCAGGAAGGTTACCTGTTGTTCCCAGTCAAAAAGAGCCTTTGAAGACTCTTTTATAGCCTAGTTAATAATTACAGTTATTTTAATTTTTGCCAACATGTAATTGAACATCTCTCTCCCTGGCCAGCTCTGACTTCCTCTTCCAAAACCCTTATGCAGGGACATATCTGAAGAACACAAAATATCAAGCTTCCTTAAGGAAGGTCTGGTTACAAATCTCAAGTGTATGATGCTGGAGAAACATATAAGATTTTCAGTTATTAAATACTGGTAAAAATAATCTCAGAGATAGTTTTTTCTATTCGATGTTGCTTGTTCTGTGTGAAGACTAGTTCCTTTTCATGCCTTTTGTTTTTAACTGGTGCTGTTTAACATGTTCATAAATAAAATGGGATGAACAATGAGATGCTCATGTTTCCTTATTTAGGGCAGTTAAAAGAAAAAAGGGGCAATGAGTAACTAGAAAAAAATCTCTTCCCATAGGAGGAATGCACATAAAAATGGCAAATGTGATTCAATGTAAGCAACTGGGGCAAAATATCTAAATTCTGCACATACCCTATTGGGTTTTGAGCTTTCCATGGCTGAACAGGAAAGGGATATTGGAATTGTGATGGACAGCTCCATGAAAATATCAGTGAAGTGAGTGATGGCTGTGAAAAACGTAAATGCCATGACAATCATTAGAAAATAATGAAAAGATAAAACTATAAAACTGTAAAATCTATAGTGTGACCACACTTGAAACAATACATGAGAACATGTCTAGTCACCATACCTCAACAAGACCACTGTACACCTGGAAAAGGCACTGTTACGAAAACCATTAAGGGGCTGGACTAATTAATCTGTGAGGAGAGGTTACAATATTTGGGGTTTGGAAAAAAAGTCAAGTAATGGGTGGCATAATAAGGATTTATAAAGTTATGCACGGTGTAGGAAGAGTGATGTTCACAGTTCTAGAACCTAGAGGCATCCCTTGAAGCTCAATGGTAGAAGATTCAGAACTGATAAAAGTACTTCACGCAGCACATAGTTAATGGTTATAGATGAAGTCTAGCATACCTTTGAATACTGCCTATTGGGGAATTCAAGCAGGAAAGTGTTGTTATACTCATGAACTGCTTCTGAGCTTCCCACAGGTGGGAACAAGCTTTTGATATATGAGATAAGCTTTTGGTATAATCCACCATGGCTCCATATTCAGTTATTCACAGATTACTCTACATATCTTTTTACATTTTTTTTTATTCTAGGTACGTATTGCCCAGCAGGCAGATGCTGTTACAGTGATTTACAGTAACAAACTCATAACAGCCAAGACAGTAAGTGCAATGAAAATAATAAAAAGAAGCATGCTATTTATTAAACAACCAGTAGCAATACTGACAATCAGAAAAAACATTGTATTTTATTAGCACTTACATTAACACTTTACTTTTTCCCCCAAAATATGTTCCCAAGGCAGTGTAGAAGAAGCAACACAATAAAAAATTCTTTTCACTTTAAGATCAACTGAGCACCTTTGTTGTGCCAATTTGTGTCTATAAGAATGACATCAAATACATATATTGCAAAACCTATTGATAAGTATCATGGAAAGTATAATAGAAACTCATACTAACAAAAAGATAGGGGGCAGAGAAGACATAGCTAGTCTATTTAACATGCATGTAACTTGAAATGTTATCAGATATAGACAGATGTGCTAGGAAGTAATTTTTAGGCAGCAGAATGGCAAATATTTATGAGAGTTAAGCTAACAATAGTGGCTACGTCACTCTTCAAACATGACAAAATATAATGCCTAATTTAAAGCCATTATAGGCATTATAAAGGCTAATTTAAAGGCATAAATGCCTAATATGCCTAATTTCAACTAACTGAAAGTTAGCAGAGTCAGCATACAGCACATGACTTGGGATTAAGCTTTGATGGACATAAAATAGATATACATTGTAACTACTCTACTGAATTTTTTTATTTCCTTCCTCTAGGTATAGAAGGTATCTTTGAATATAATCAGAGTGGTGTTGCTATATATGCAAATATCAAATTTAGTACAAATCTGATGATCCAAGAGATTATATAAATTATTCAATGAAAAGTAACTCTTCTTTATTAGTTTTACTTAAAAAAACACTCTAGTATATCATGTATGATTTAATTAAACACAGTCAGTACATATACAACATGCAAGGACTTTATCTTACAGGTGCCAAAGGGATAGGACATTTAACCATAATTTTTATATAAAAAACATATGGCACACCTAGATCTGCCACTGAATAGCTTATAGAATGAGCAGCTTTTCAAACATGGCACGGAGCATGCATACATAAGCAATTTATCTAAGTTCATAATCCTACGCATATTTATACAGGAAAAAAGGCATGTAACTACCAGCATGCCCCAGCCAACTATGATGGCTGGGGCATGCCGGGAACTGTAGGACTCTTTTCTGCCTAAACATACATAGAACTGAATCTTAAGTAAACAGATTTGTTACCACAGCACATTAAAGTAATCTGAAAAATCTGAATTTATGCTCTTAAATAACCATGTTGCACATTTGCTCTGAAAGACCTATCTCTGGAACAGTATAAATGATATATCCTTCTCACTGACTCCAAATGAATATAAATAAATTTCCAGCATAATGAAGAGTATTTCAAATACAGTTGAACCTTGACTTTCTCAGGTTTAACTATTATGGATTTATTTGCAAGTTTGCCATCAATAATTAAATTGGAATTGTTCTGGAGTTTTAAGGGTTACTGAGGAGAATCACAGATGATGTGCATAGACTAGAAAATGTAACAAAAACTGTAGACTACAGACTTTGTTTGGAGATGCCATGCTCTTTTCTCAGTACTAGCCAGCCTCACTCATGTGTTTTATCTCATAGTGTGTGGTGTAATTTGTGTTTCTCGCAAGTTGAAGTGGCTATTAGCCTATCCTCACATAGACATATGTTGAGTGGTATTTTAAAAATTAAAAATGTTTTTCAATTAACTGGTAAGTGTACATATCAACACTGTAAGCTAACAGAGGGAGGGAGAGACAATACAGTACATGTATGGTCAACAGTATTAAGAGGGGGGCAACAGTAATAAGGTTTGGGGGCAGGCTAGAGATATTTGCAGTTTTTCCACTTTTGTGTGGGTCCTACCCTCTAACCCTCATAAATGTGGAGGTTTGACTATTTATCAAAATAGTGAGCAAAAGGAAGTTTAACTAGGATTTATTTAGAATAAAGACATATGAAATCACAATATGGATACAATGCTATTTTATTTAGACATGAAACTATTTCCTCTTTTCCAAAAAAAATAAATCTGATCAATTATTTATCCTTACTCATACATATTGAAAAATGAACAGTTATAAACTAGTAAGAAAATATAAATGCACACACAACCAGGTTTCAATCTTTCTCTTGTGGATACAGAAGTTTGCAATGGAAAAACTGATCAACATATAAACCAGGAACACATGTGGAGCCTGCATTAAATGGAAAATGAAAAACTGCTGAATCCCCAGGAAATACTGTGTGAAACCCCCAAAGGAGGGAGAAATCCACAGTGTGAAAGTGTAAAGTGGCTACTTCAATGTGTATATATTACTAAACATTTCTCAAAGTTGTACTTAATGTTACATAAATTAACCCAAATTCTGTTCTGACAAAATTAACCAATTTCACAATGTGCATACTTACTACTTCTACAGTCAAAGTGCAAGTGAGATGAATGCAATCAACAAACTGCTTGCCTTTTAAAGGCTACTCCGGAACAGCTGCACAGCCTATTTAAAATTAAAAGAAAACTCTGCTAGACTGTGTTTAAAGAGGTCATATTATAGCCTGTTTACTGTAACTGAGTTGCCAGCTTTGGCTTGGGTACTTCAAAACATTGTGGATCACAGAAGATGGAGAGTGTTAATGTTTACCAGACAGCATTCAGATTATGTGTAACAAAGAAAGAGCATTTCATTAACACACATCTGCATATATGACTTCAAGTGATCATATTTAAACTTAAGTTGGTCAAGAACTAAGACTCACATAACACTGAATTTTCTAGTGTAAAATCATACCAAAACCTTGTTAGATTGTCAGTGACATCACAGGAAAGCAACTGTCTGGGCAAGTCATTACAGGTATCTTGTACTGCCAACACATGAGGTGCAAGAGTGAAAGGTACATCACTGAGAAGTTCCACCATAGAAGTGCTTTCAATATGTTGATTTTTCTCCTTCCCCACCTCAGTGACCGTCTCAGTCAACTGTAATCTGTTGTCTGAATTTGTCTAAGAAAACAAAAGAGGAAAAAACAGTATGCACTAAATATTTGTTCACTGTGGCTTTTTCATGCAATACAATAGTTGTCATTAGTTAGAATAAAATTGAAATTTTTGATACATGCCATGAGAGGTCTCATAAAGAGCTATGCTCAACTAGTAACAGCAGATGCTTCTTAGCAGGAAAGCTCTGTACATTTTGGGAATGTCGAGTAAGTGCATTTGAAAGGAAATATTTGTGGGTGAGGATGGGGTAAACACATGCTTTTTCAGCTATGTGACTAGTAGCATAGGGGGCCAGGGCACACGATCAGTAAGCCATGGTAGCTTATTTCAATTTGTGGTTCATGCTTGCAATAAGGCATGGATCATTTGATGGTTGTTTTCCTAACAGGTAAGCTGTGCCACGCAGGTTCAAACAATACAACAAGCCACAACTGGGTAAGTAATTGAGGAAATGGTGGTCAACATACACCAGGAATTTAAACATGCCCCTGAGACTTACCTTAATTGTTTGATTAATTAGGTTTTTAGCCCAACCCATTAGCCACATGGCTTCCTGGGCAGGTTACAGACAGACATATACATTCAATAAAATCATATAAAAACCATATAAGACATTAAAAACACAATATTAAACTCTTAATCATATAACAATAAAAGCACACCTATGTCACATTTTAACAGAACCTGTGATTACATAAAAGACAGAACCACATTTTATATTAAAATGTAACCACTATTAAAACTAATCTAACAATTAAAATACTGGCAAAATAAAAAGTTCTTTGCCTGGCACCATAAAAGAGGGTGCCAGGTGAAACTCTTTAGGGGGCCCATTCCAAAGTTGGGATGCCACTCCCAAGGAGGCCCATCTTCTTGTAGCCACCCCCCTTATTTTCTGAGAAGGGGGCTCAGAAGATGATCTAATGGGAATATGGGAAGAGGTGCTCCTTTAGATACCCTGGCCCCAATCCACATAAAGTGCATTGCAATAATCCAGGCAAGAGGTTACTAGTGTGTGAATAACTGTTGCCAAGTTCTGCCTGTCCAGATAGGGCTGCAGCCTAAACTGATAGAAGATTTGCTTCTGGCCAGCAAATCCACCTGGAATTCCAGATAATTCTGTGATAAGAGCATCCCCAAGCCATGAACTCTGCCCTTTTGGGGAAGTGTGACTCCATTCAGGACAGGGAAGATGTCACCCATATGAACAGATGGTCTCCCCACCAACAGTATCTCCATGTTGTCTAGATTAACTTTCAGTTTATTGGCCCACATCCAATCCATTATCAAGGCCAGACCACAATTCATAACATCTACTACCACACCTGCGTTAGATGAAAAAGCAAGGTAGAGCTGAGTGTCATCAGGGTACTGATGACATCTCAGTCCATACAGTCTGATGCCCTCTCCCAGTGGTCTCATGTAGATACTGAACAGCATGGAGGATAAGATAGAGCCCTGTGGGACTTCATGGCATAAATGCCTTGGTGCAGAGCAATAATCCCCCAGCACCACCTTCTGGACATGGCTGGTCAAGTAGGAGTGAAACCACTGCAGAGCAGTGCTGCTTATTTCCAACTCTACCAACTTGCTCAGAAGGATACCATGGTTGATGGTACTGAAAGCCACTGAGAGGTTCAGGAGAACCAACACAGTGAAACTCCCCCATCTTTCTCCCAGCAAAGGTCATCCCACAGTGCAACCAAGGCAGTTTCCATTCTGAATCCAGGTCTGAATCCCAATTGAAATGGATCAAGATGGTCCATTTCATCCAAGAAAGCTTGGTGTTGGCCAGCCACCACCTGCTCTAACACCTTGCCCAAGAAAAGGATATTAGTGACTGGTCTGTAGTTGTTAAAATCCCCTGGGTCCAAGTTGGTCTTCTTCAGGAGTAGTCTAATTAAAGAGGACCATTCCTTCTCCTAATGGGGTGTTCACAGCTTCCTGGCCCCAGGGACATCCCTCCCCTTGCTTTGTGTGACTAGCCAAGATTGGCAAGGGCTTAGCATACAGATAGTAGGCTGGGCCAATCCAAGCACTTTGTCCACATCCTTACGCCTCAACAACTGAAACTCATCCAATAAACCTAGACCTGATGTTGCACTGAATGTTTCAGCCAAAGGAAGTGTATTAACCATGGAGTCCAACTCACAACAAATTCCAAGCAAGTTTAACCTCAAAGTGCTGTGCAAATTCCTTACAGTGGGCCACCAAAGGCTACACTGTTTGTTTGTTTTTTTCACCTGGACAGTTTGTAAAAGACTCTGAACAGCCCTGCTGGACAGCACTGAGAGGATGCAATAGAAGCAGAAAAGTAAGATCTCTTTGCTGCCTTTACCACCATGGCATAATGAGCTCTAATAGATAATGAACTCTAAGCTGTTTCAGTTGGATTCATCACTAGTTTTCCTCCATCTGCACTCTAGCTGTCTTCCCACCTGTTTCATTGACCTCAGTTCTGGCGTATACCAAGAAGCCATCCAGGCTCCACATAGGGGAAGAGGGTGCTTTGGGGCAATTGTGACAAACATCTGGATCATCTCCATATTCCACAGAGTGACCTGAGCTTCAACAGAGGCACGAGCCATATCAGGCAGAAACAGCCCTAGGACCCTTTGGAAGCTATCCAGATCCATCAGTCTGCAGGGACAGACCATTTTAATGCTTCCCAACCTTGCAGAGGGGAAAGGGGACAAAAAGCCTAAACCTCAAAAGGAAATTATCTGACCATGACAAAGGGGTTAATGTTAGCCCCTCCACTCTCAGATCACCATCTCCTTGTCCAGTTGAGAAGAGTAGGTCTAGACCTTTTATGTGTGATGGCCTGGTGACATGCTGAGGCAGTCCCTTGGTTGTCATGGAGGCCATGAAGTCCTGAGCCATCCCTGATAAAGTGGTCTCAGCAAGAAAGTTGAGTTCCCCAAAATTCCTTGAGTGAACAAGGAGCCTTGAGAGGGGGATAAAATTCCTACAGACCACAGACACCCCCCCCCCCCAGCCCCGGCCTCCAGGCAATGTTCATGCTGGGCAGAGTACCCAGGGTGGGAGCACAACTGTGAGAGAGCTACTCCTCAGTCTACTGTACCCAGGTCTTTGTAGTGTAAGCCAGGTTGCGCAAACCAAGTCAGTATCTACACAAGTACTACTGTTAATAAACATGTCTCTTTAAAAAACCATCTGCAGGAAACCATCGTTTTAGCAGATAGTGATCTAAAGAGATAAGAAATATCTTACAGTTCTGCTATCCATTTACATGACTCACACCTGTGACAGCAAATCTTAAAGCAGATTACATGAGTCATTCCATACAAGCAATTTATTCTGCTATAAATGTGCTTTTGTTCCTCTTTTGCTGTACAAAGCCTATGCATCTTTGCTAAAGATGGTTTCAGTCATGCAGGAAAAGCAGCAATATTTTTTAGCTAGAAAATCTGATACTTTCCCCAGACAATGCATTCATTCAGGGCAGGCCCTAACATTAGCCAAGCTAAGAAAGCCTAAAGGAGGGGAGGTCTTTATATTTTATTTCTGTGCTCTTCCTAGAACAGTAAGACCAGAAATGTCTGTGTTGGTGTCTCGGTTGGTCTTCTCCCCCTCTTTCTGAACAGATCACAACAAGGACATTCTAGCTAAACATGTTTTTTTCTTATTAAACTTGTATACTGCTCTATTAGTCTCACAGAACTCTCTAAGCAGTTTACAATACAGGACAGGACTCTCCCGGTAGTTCATTATGTTGAAGCTGACCAACCAAGCTGGCTTTGTGATATAAAAGAGCACTGCAGAAGTCAATAACAAAGGAAACAAGCAAAGCTGGAATACCAGCCATTAGGGAGATGCGGCTTAATGATACATAGTTGATTCCAATCTGAACGCCTCTTCCCTGTACCAAATCAAACAGAGCTGGCTCCACCTTCAAATCAGATCCAGATGCTTATGTGTCAGTTGCTTGGAACATCTGATGTTTTTCAATTTGATCACCCTCTTAACTTGGTGCCACATGATCAGATGGATCTTGAGTCCATCCCCTTCCGTATCAGCTAGCTCACTAGATGTTCTGAAAAAATTTGAAACTGTTTGAATTTCAGCAACATTTTGGCTTGGTTCTGCTTCCATTGGCCTTGGCATTTCACCTGAAAATTCCAGCCCCTCCTCTACCTCTAAGTAAGATTCCAATTCAACAACTTTTGCAGGCTGTAATTAGTGTTGTGATGAAATTCTGCAGAATCTGTCCCTCTAGTATTTGTGGACCTCCTTTCATGCTCAGCCCAGTCTTGGAAAGTGAGCCAAGCCAAGATGAAGTCCACGAACATCCACAGAATAAAGGGTGTGCAACCAACAACCTCCTTCTACATCACATGCAAGAGCACAAAGGCTGCTGCATGTATAGGAGTCATGGGCAGCTCAATTCTGGGAGAGTGCCAGGTGAACACTGGGCATACTCAGCAGAATCTCAGACTCAGGTTGTGACAAAGCAGGATGGAGTCCAGGGAGCTGAGCCCAGAGATTGCACTGAATTCCCACCCGAAGACAGATTCCACTAGATCTCTAGCTGTATGTAATACAGAAGAAGTAGGCCCAGTACCCAGTTGGATCAGATCAAGAGTCCATCTAGTCTAACACCTCCCCCTTTTACAGAACTTACATAGCATTGTTTAACTGAATAGACATTAAAATAAATGACTGAAGAAATCTCTAGAGCCTTGTTTTATTTGCTGACCCAGACCCTGAGAAACATTTGTTTGCTGTTTCGTTGTAGCACAAATCTAGGATTTCAAGTAATGGTCTTTATTAATAGTATATGAAGAGGAAAGATGTTCTGAATTAGCTACACTTTCTTTTAAAAAGCTGAAAAAATACAGGTAACTTCATATATTTCTCTAGCACCTCATGCACTCCTCAGTCTTACAAGTGAAAGTAATGCAGTTACTTGGACAAAAATTTCATGGCAGCAACACAGCAGCAATGTAAGGAGTAATGAATGATTTACAAAAATGTTCTGA